AACTTGGTCTGAGCGTGGTGTTACTTGTAAAAGGGCAGAAAGTGCCTGTGGGCGTTCCCATGATGTGGGCCAAGGATGGCACCTTTCCATTCGTCTTTGGCTGTATCTCTTGGCCCCATTGGTTTTGGGGTTGGGGAATGGTGACAAGCACTGGAATTCCAGCAAACCCTGGCTTTCCCACTTGCCTTGCTGCACAGCTTTCGGTGAGTGAGTAAATGGCTCTGCCTCATGGTTATGGTAAGGAGAGTTCCTAGAGAATGTGTTTATTAGCACAATGCCTGCTACACCCTAATAAAATGCTAGTAGATATTATTCCAGTCCGGCACCTTGGGAGCCACTTGTGCCTCAGTTTCCTGATCTGTAAAACAGGGAAATAATGCCCAATCCTTGCCTGCCGCCCCTCCCCTCTGCCCCTGGCTGTTGTAAGGGTTAATATCCTCAGGCTCTGAGGTCCTGGGGTGAGGGAGGAGCTGCATAAATGGGTCATTGTTGTGCTGCTGAATGATCTGGCTTTGTTCAAGTGTCTTCAGTATTTGACTTCCTGCAGTTAATGTCCCCTGACTTTAATTGCTATAGATATTTGCATGTCCTCAGCGGCTGGCGGCTCTCACCTGCCCGGCTGTGACCTGGGTCCTCACCCAGCCAGGGACCTGCTGAGTTGGGGTGGGAAGCTCCATTTCCTCTGTTAGGGGCCCCCCAGGAGTCAGGAATGAAAGAAATGCAGAAAGTATGACCCACACGCGCAACCGATTCTGAATAGGACGTTTATTGAAGAGGTTTTGCAGGAGGCGGCGGGCACTTTAATTCCCAAGGCTGTTGGTGGCAGCTCTCTGCTCGCCCCAAGCCTGTTAACTGCTTGGCTGCTGTTGCTTAGGGAGAATGGAGCTCCCCGGCCCCACGCGGCTCTCCTGGTGCTCGGATGGGAGCCCTTTTGAGAAAAGCGGTAGGTGCCGGGCTGGGCCAGGCCAGGGGGTGTGAGTGGGGCATGACCAGGACTATCCCAACTCCAGGCCTCCAAGTCTTGCCAAACTGTCTTGTGAAAAATCTGGCTGGCCACAGGCTTTGGGGCAAAAGGTAAATGTCTCCCTTGGGGCTTCAGAAACTAAGGATGGGTGTAGGAGAGTTGGTCTCTTTTTAATCCTGTCCTGGCTTCTTCCAGTGCATTTGTCCATCGAGGCCAGGTAAGAGCAAGATAATCCTGTGTTCCTCTTAGAGGCGATTGCAAGTGGTTCTGCGAGGGGCTTCGGAGGGGCTTCTGATCTCTGAACACTCGGAGTTGTGTGATGAGAGAACGGGGCTGTTCCTAGAGGGACCCAGCACGTACTGGGAAAAGCAGAGTTGATCTCCCATTTCTTCCTGAAGTTTCCTTTTCTCAGAATCCACAGAGGGTGGTTATTTTGGATAAAATCAAGGTGTGGCAGAGGAGCAGGTGAAAGGAAGTTCTTCCCCACCCACCCTGTCTTTTCCCTGGTGCCCAGGCCGGGGCGGTGCCCACCACTTGCAGAGCTCTGGGCTGCAGGAGCAGGGAGGTCAGGGGGCAGATTGCCACTCTGCTTTGGCTTGACTTTCAACCCTGAGTCAAGGCCTTGATTTTCCAGGAGCAGGACTCTGCTGCCTGGGCCATGCCACTCCATGCCATGTGTATACCCGCTTGTCCCAGAATCGGGGGTTTGGAGACAGCTGCCCCCGCTGTCTGAAGTCTGGTCTGTGTAACCTCTCAGCTGAGGGAGAAGGCTGCTCTCCTCCCACCAGGGAACTGGTTGGATGAGTTTTCTCGGGCCTCCCTGGTTGAGGCCCCTTAGAAGGGAAGGCAGGGACCTGGGGGGTGGGGGCAGGTGCTGTGGGGTGGAGAGGGGCCCTCTCCTCTCCCTCTCTCCTGCAGTGGGATAGGGATCCCTGGGGGACAGGGTGGTGCAGGAGGCCCTGCTCTCCAAAGGGCTGGCTGCCTTTGAGAATTGACCTTGTGTGAGACTACAAGCTCTGACTTGGAAAATCCACTTTCCTAACATGTCTGGGTCGGGTGCCAGGCCCAAGGTCAGCATCCAGGGCAAAGAGGAGGTGTTGGTCGGAGCTCTTCTCTTGCTGTTGTGCCCGAGGGCCAGGGAGGACCAGGGTGCATGACTGATGGTAGCAGTTCATTAAAAGGGGGCTGCTCACATTTACGCACTTTTCCGGGTCTGGGTGCTCTTGCTTGGAATTGGAGACCAAGGTGCGTTTGGGGGAGCCTCCCTAATTCTAATTTGCTTGGGGAGGGAAAGTGAGACTTTGGGGAAGGGAAAAACCCTCAGGTGGTAAGATGTACACTGACTGCTCCCCCAGGCCAGCTGGGAGCTGCTGTTCTAGAATCACAGTGGGAGATTCCCTTCTGGTTAAGCCCTGGTATCTCAGTTCCTAGACTTGGTGTTCTCCCCCTGCTTTTAGGAGCATTGCATTTATGTGTAGGTTCATATCTCCACATTTATTGCAGGCCTCGTTTCTTCCCCCTTCACAGGGGTTGGGATAGGTGTCATACTTCTTTCTAGCATATGTTCCCTGACTGTCTCTTTCCTCCTTGAAGCTCTCTGTAAACAGTCAGCACCTTCTTGGGCCTCGGGATTCTTCATGAACACTCTGGCTGTATAGATCCCTGAGGCCATAGCCCCACCTGGCGGTCTGTACCTTTTTAGGGCAGTTTCTCACGCCTTGTCTCCTGGAGTCTCGGTGATGGTTCTTCCAGGCCTGGCCTGGGTGTGCCCTTCCCCACAGTTCCTTCGGTCTGTCCTCGGCCTGCCTTCCAGCCTCGCCACTTGCTGCCAGACGCCCCAGATCCTCGAGCGGTCCAGGTCCTTTCGGGACTCCACTGTCCCATGCTGCCACCCTTGCACCAGATGCCCTGAGAGCTGTTCTTCACCTGGCAGAAGCTTACTCATCAGTCAAGACTCAGCTAAAACCGCACCCCCTTTAAAGCTGCCGGGTCCCCCAGGCCGCATTTGCTACTCCCGCTTCTGTCAGCAGAGTTTACGTGTACTCCCGTACCAGCACTTGAGGCAGTGCTTTGCGGATAATCTGTTGATATAACTATTTTTTAAATTATGATTTTGTTATTATTATTATTACTTTTTTTGGTACTGTGTGGCTTGTGGGATTTTAGTTCCCTGACCAGGGATTGAACCTGGGCCGTGAGAGTGCAGAGTCCTAACCACTGGACTGCCAGGGAATTCCCCAGATCTATGTTTCCTTCTAGAATTCTCTTCCTCAAAGACAGAGGGGCAGTGTCTTACTCCTTTCAATATCCCTAGGGCCTAGCATCATGCTTGGAAGTGTTGAGTGATTCCCAGACTGGAGGCTGTCTTGACCTCCCACGTGGCTCCAACACCACCCTCTACTTCCTTTTGTTATTATTATGTGGGATCTTAGTTCTCCAACCGTTGATCGAACGCGTGCCCCCTGCAGTGGAAGCACGGAGTCTTAACCACTGGACCAGCAGGGAAGTCCCTGCTTTCTTTTGTTATTGATGTGCTTGTCTCCTTTCTCCTGGTAGAATATCAGCTCTTGGGAGTGGGCTCTGTGGGTGATTCATCTTTGTGTCACCCACAAGGCTGCAATGTCCTTGTGCAAAGTAGATGCTTGAATATATGGTTCAGTGAATTCTGAAGCTCATGACTTGGGACGGGCCAGCAGTGTTAATCCCTAAATGAGCGGTAGACCCTGTGGCACAGGTGGCTCACTGCCCTGCTCCCTGTCGTCCAGCGAGTTAGGAGCAGAGCTAGCACTGGTTTTGAGCTGTGCTGGCTGGAGTCCCAGGGCTGTTCATACACATTCTGCGGCTTTCCCCTCTTTGATATTCCCTGTGACTTAGGAAACGGGGCTTTCCCCAGTACCTTATGGCTCTCCCATATGTCCACCCTGGAGATGGATTGTGTTTTTTCTTTAAAACCCAAGGACCAGTGTCAAGGATGGTTTCTACTGATCACTTCTTTGTGCTTTTGCCGCCTCACATCACCTTCAATTCTGTTCCTCCTCAGGCCTGTTGTGCCCCATGGCTTTGTTCCTCTCCTAGCTGAACATGCCGGTCTCTACCTGTGGAACCCTGAGGAATGTGCCCTGCCTGCTACAGCAAAGGACTGTGACTCATTCATACTTCATCTTCTGGTTTGACCTTCTGTGGGGCATAGATATCAGACTTTTTCCTTTCCAGCCGAATTGCTTTATGTTTGCCCTTATAATATCATGGTCCGAATGTATGTTGGGATCATAGATGATGGATGATTGGTGGGGTGAGTGGGGAGGGGAGGGTTAGGTCATGCTGGTTCACCAGGTTTAACCCATATCTTTACTATTGATTTGAGATGTAGGTCAACTTTTCTAGGCACACATCAGAAAAATCTCTTGTCCTGGTGCTGTGGAGCAAATAGTAATTCATCCATCGTCCTCATTGCTACCATTTATGGAGGGTTTACTGTGTGTCAGTTGTACAAATCGCTCTACTTGTATCATCTCAATCTTGGAGACCAGTGAGGTTGGTAGTACTGCTGTGCTCATTTTACAGGTGAGGAACTTGAAGCTTGGTCGGGTCAAGTGACCTGCCCAAGGCCACACACAGCCAGTAAAACGGAGGAGCCGAGGTTCAAACCACGTCTGCCTGACTGCAATGCCTGTGAATCCGTTTAGTGCATTTAACCTCTGCTCTGGACTCCCACGTACTCACGTACTTGCTCATTCTCTCCTGCTCTTCTGACAACTCAGATCTAGTGGGCCCCTCTGTTCCCACTTGCTTCCAGCTGAGATTCTCCAGTGCCTTTGAACCTGTTGCAATAGTAAATGCTGCAACTCTTGAAAGTGTGGTTCAAGCCGAGAGGACTCCAAACAAGCAGCCCCTACAGTGGGCATAGGGGGGCAACTAGATGGCTAATTTTTAGCGTTGGGTCCCTGAATTTTGCTGATAAGGAGGGGTGGTCCTGTGAGCCTTTTTGACCTAGAGATGAGAGAGGTAGGGTCTCTGGGAACACTGGAGGTGTCTGATTTCTAGCACAGTCTTTAGCTCCTCCATCTTCTGGGGACATTCTGTCTGTGTCGTTTTCCTTCTTAGTTACAAGTTGTGCTGGGAGCAAGCTGACCTACCCTGGCTGAGAGCAAAAGCAATTTCTAATCAACAGTAATTATTCTCATTTGCCTTCGGTACGTGTTTCTGTGAAACCTCCTGGTGGACTGCTTTTCCTGGGGTATCTGTAGGGCCATTTTATTGTAGTCCCTTCTCCAAACTGTAAAGTGGTCCCTTGGCCACTTTCCCCTTCTCCCAGTTTTTGTGGCTGGTCATTTAATATGTGGCATGGCAGGGCAGCTGTACCCCTGCTCCAGTCCCTTGTCTGGGGCCTAGGGTACGGGACTGCTGGGGTGAACGAGCAGTCACTGCTCCTGCGTGCCTCTTGGTGGATCGGAAACTTGCTGGCAGTGACTAATGTGGAAACTCATTAGACTAGGAGGAACTGGCTCAGGTCTTGACTTTGACTAGTGTTTATCTTTCACCTGACTGTGGGAGTGGTGAAGTGCTCTAGGCACAATCCCGTAGGAATTTATTGAGCATCTAGTGTGTGCATTGCCTTCTGGGGGTGAAAGAAGGCCCAGCCCACTGGGTTTTATTATCTAGTCTGGAAGGAAAACTTGCACATAAGAGCCCCCAAGGACCAGTGCTTTATGTGATACTCAGGCTCATTAGAGTTCAAAGAAGTGCATGTGTATTAGTGTCCCATGGCTGCTGTAACAAACTGCAAACTTAGTGGCTTAAAACAGCACACGTTTATTATCTTATAGTTCTAGAGGTCAGACGTCAGTCTGGGTCTGCATGGCTATGTGCCTTCTGGAGGTTCCAGGGGAAAATTTGTTCTCTTGTCCTTTCCAGCTTCCTGAGGATGCCTAGATCCTTTGACTTGGGGTCCCTTTTCTCCATCTACAAAGCCAGCAGCCTAGCATCTACCAACCTCTCACTCTCTGTCCCTCTGCTTTTGCTGTCACATCAGCTTCTGACTCCTGCTGCCTCCCTCTCATAAGGACCCTTGTGATTACATCAGACCTACCCATGTAATCTAGGACAATCTTCCCCATCTCAAGATCCTTAACTTGATCACATCTGCAAAGTCTCATTTGTCATATAAGGTAACGTGCATAGGCTCCTTATATCCAGGAATTAGGATGTGCATATTCTTGGGGGAGAAGCATTATTCAGTCTGCAATAGTGTGTGTGTTGGATGGGTTGGTGATGGTTGGGGAGGCCTTTCTGAGGGAGATGATTTGACCAAATTTGTGTAGGGAGAGAATGTCTAGGACACCTTCCAGGTTTGAGAAGCAACATGAGCAGCTGTTGAGCTTGTGGGTGGTGGGGACAGTGAGGTGTGGGTGAGTGGTCCTCCCACTGAAACGAGATGCCAGGGGCTTTCCTTTCCTTCCAAGGCTAGGCTGAGGGAGTTTTTTGGACTTCAGTCTGTGTGTTCAGACCCCCTCCCAGAATTCAGGTGGGAAGGCTCCATTGGCAACCAGAGCCTTTCCTTCCTAGCAGCTGGCTCAGCCACACTTGGTGGCCCCTGCTATTCCTGGGTGGTGGGAAAAGGAATTCACGAGGGAAAATGAATTTGAGCCAGCTGGCCTGGGTTTGGGTGGCCCAGAAACCCTGGTCACACTTCGCACAGCCTCTGTGGCAGTCACATTGCTCACATTGAACACAGTCAGTCCCTAGGGAGCCTTCCCTTGCCCTCCCTTAGGGTGCTTAGGGCCCCTGAGTCTCTGGGGAGGGACAGGAGGGTCAGAAGGAGAGGGGCAAAGGCCAGACCCTCTCAGGGATCCTCCCCATCCCCAGGAAAGCCTCGATGGCGTGGTGAGAGGTGTCCTCAGCTGGTATGACCTCAGCCAGCTCTACTCACCATCTGCTGGCCGGGGGAGCCGTAGGAACAGACCCCAGAGAGCCCAGCTTCTGTGGGGACAGCGCTGGGCAGCAGTGTGTCTGGAGTGGTGCTGAGCTGGATGCATGTGTGTCTCTGTGTGTGTGTGTGTGTGTGTGTGTGTGTAGAGCACAGCTGGGCTCAGGATCTCAGGGTGAGATCTCTGTGAAAGTTCACATTGCTCCCGCCTTGTTTGTCTGGAAAAGCTGTAGCTTTTCTCTGTTGCTTCCTTCTGGTACGCTCTCTGAGCAGATCCTGACAGTGCAGTTGAGGGGTTAGGGGGAAAGCCAGAGGCCTGTGGCTGCCCCTGTTTGGAGAGCCTTTGGACTATCTAGCAGGTGTCGGTAGTTGGGAGATGAAAGAAGGTCAGGAAGGAGGGCCACGCAGCGTGCAGCCCCCCGAGCAGGGAAGGACTTGGCCCGCTTGCCGGTACCCGGTGATTCCCTGGACTTTGGAGCAGCTGCCTTTGGGGGAGACCCCTCTCTCGGTCCCCGCCCGCCTCCAGAGCAGGTGTGGCGCTCCGCCTCTCGGGTGTGGGGCAAAGCGGGGTAGGTGAAAGGATGACGTCAGCCGCCTCCGCACCTGGACCCAGCCTCTCCAAACCAAAATGTTTTCTGGGGCGTCTCCAGAGCGCCGGCCTGCACAGCCTCCTCCCGGTCTCCTGCCTTCTCAGCCCACTAGCCCCCGAGGGAGGGCCGGAAGGGAGTGTTGCTGAGTCCGGGGGACTCCCTAGGACCAGAGAAGCAGAGGTTCTCCGAAGGTTCCAGGTGAGTTCCGCTCTGGGACCGTTCTTTCTGAAGCTGGGGGTGAGCTCAGGGAGCAGGGTCCTACTGCCTTAGTGACAAGAGGCCTGAAGACAGAACATGGGGGCTATGGTGGGGTTTGGATTTTTTTTGTTTGGAGGCAGGAGGCTAGGTCAGATCGGGGGCACGGTGCTGAGGCCTCGCGGGGCGGAGGAGGATGTGGGACTTGGCCCCGGTCAGCTGTGCTGGGAATCCAAGGGGCCTGCTGCAGCCTGCTTGCGTTCTTGCCCGGGGATGTTCAGGGAAGGTCCCCGTTGGTGGAGCCAATAACCTGGAGAGGTGTGGGTGGAGGAAGGGTGTGGATTAAACTTAGAAAAAGTTATTGAAAAAAAAAGAAGGAAACTGATCTCCCTTCCTCTCCTGTGCCCCGACCCTTAAAGGTGCGTGTTTGAGCAGCTTATTGGGACCATCAGAAAGGTCTTACAGGACCCTTTCAAAGAGAGCTTCCCAGGTGTGGGAGATAGAGTTTTCTAGAAGACTGACTCACTGACTGATGATTGACTGGATTGATTTGTGTTGAAAGATGGAAGAGGTTACTGCGGAGCGACTTAGGGAACTGGAGACTAGTGTGACGGAACGGGGTGGGCGTGGACATCTGACTGCTGTCTGTTAACTTTCTCTCGGCGCGCACTGCCCCAGCGGACAGTGTCTTCCAAGATGAGTTTGAAGACCTGAGTTCTAATCTTGGCTTTGGGGTGAATCTTACCATATGGGGTGATGCTCCGTGGAGAGGAAGGAAAGATTGCCTCCGCCCAGGAACACGTGGGCGGGTGCTTCCGCCGTCTCTGTGGGAGCCTGAACTACACACACAGTAATGGTTGGATTGGGCTTTTAGGACCAGAGTGCACTCACATTAGGTGTGATGTCCCTTTTCCCTCTCTATCTAATGGTGTCTGCTAACAGTCCCATTTGGACTCTGCCTTGTCTGCTCTCACTTCCCCATTTGCTGTTCATCCCTCCCTTTCTGGGTCTCTGTGTTCTTTTCCAGAGAGAGAGAGAGAGAGAGAGAGAGAGACAGAGACAGAGAGAGAGAGAGAGAGACAGAGAGAGAGAGAGAGAGCCTCATGATCCTAGGTCTCCTGGTCACTGTAGGGCTTCTCTTATCATCCGAGCAGTTACAGTCCGATCCCTATGCCCTCGTGCTTCTTCCCCTCTCCATGACCTGTAGTCCTTTGACCTGGAATCTGTATTTTTCTACGTTGTTCCAAGGAAAGGGTAAATGGGCAAATGTCACATAGTAGGAGGTCTAGAAATAGCCTTAAGGAATCTTAACTCTCTCTCTCTTTTTTTTTTTTTAACCTCCATTGGCCTTTGTGGGGTAAGTGAAATGTCCTGTTAAAAGCCCTGACCTTTATGTCTTAATATGTCCCCCGTGGCTTACGCTGAGGCAAAGCCTTGGCATCCAGGGCTGTGACTAATCCTTTGCTGTGGTTCTAGCTGGTGTGAAATCCATCAGGGAGGCAGCCAGCAGCGGGCAGGGGCAGGAGAGCATGCACACTGAAGCCTGAGTGCCTGAGTCCAAATCCAGGCTCTACCGCGTGCTTCTTCTGTGGCCTCAGTTTCTGCATCTGTAAAATGGGGATAATAATAGTACTGACCTCATAGAAATGTTATGAGATAAAAAGGTCTTGTTAATGTCTACAGCACTTGGAACATTTTTAGCTGTTAGTCATTATGCTTTCTTTTAACCCCAGGAGGATTTGGGCATGGGCACTACTTTGAAAACATGATATTGGTTTGCAGGCAGATGTCTGTGTGCAACCAGAGAAAAGTTCTCCAAATAGAAAAGATGTTTTAGTTCCTGGGCTTTTGAAGTGTGCTTATGTTGCACCCTGTGGCAACGGGGCCCCTAAAGAGTGACCCTCAGAAGGTACCCTTTAGAGATAAATCTCCCTGAGAGTGTGTGTGTGTGGGGTGTGTGTGTGTGGCTGTGACTAATCCTTCACTTTAAGGCCGTGACCTGACCAGCTGTGAAATCCATTAGGGACTTGGGCCTTTTCCGTTTAGCATCCCCATAGGGGCTGACTGATCCCAGGTTTGATCTGGGAAAGGTCTTAGGTCGTAAGTCCCTACCCCATTGTTGTAGTTGGGATTGACAGGCCTGGGGGGCTGAGGGGGAGAAGGGGTGGAGGGGCTGTGGTGTGCCTGACAGTTGCACGTGACTTGAAGGACACCAGAGTCCCACAGGGCTGGGGTTAAGGGCTGGGGCGGAGTTTGGGTCTTTGTCTCTCTTTGTGCTGAAATGACACGCCACAGGTGGGTAGAAATGACTAGCTGGTTAATCTTAAAGGCTCTTTTGAGGAGGTAGGAAAAAGCAGTGGTGCTGCATTTCCCAAGGGGCTCTCCTGAGATGCTCAGTTTCACCAAGATGATCCTGTTAATTAATCCTTTCATTGCACCTGGAGGGAGGGAGCACTCTGGACTGGCCCCAGTGCTGCCACTGTGTCCTCACTTGCAAAATGAGAGGCTCCCATAGAGCACCTCGGAGGTGACCCCGTCCCCCAGCTGAGACATGCAGTGAGAAATTGCTGTGCTTGAGAGGGTCCTTGCTGGGCTAGTGCATGGCAAACAGGTCTCAATGCTCCTGACTTTAGCTCAGTAGTAGTACATTATCCACTTGACAGATCACCTTTTAAGGCCCCTGCCCTTAGGTCACTTACAGCCTAGGGCAGGGGGTCTCACACAGAGAGTGCTACAATAGGGGTACCCCTGGGGTGCTGTAAGAGTACATAGAAGGGGCCCCCAGGTTTGGTTTCTGGGGATGTATGGGGGTGGCTTCTGAGACCCAAGGGTTGGTATAAGTGACACAGGTTGGGGGGGCCGTATGGCGTGGGGTGGATGGGGAGGGAAGTAATGGCCAGGCAGAGAGAACATGTGCCAAAGCCAGAGCCCAAGGGCGCTGGCACAGGTAGGGACACTGGTTCCAGGTTGGGGCACAGGCACAGAAAACCAGGGGGCAAATTCAAGACTGCCAGAGCGATGGTACCTTCTAGACCCTTCTCCTCATAGCTCTAGCCTGTGATCTAGTAGCTTCTGATCCTTAGAACTAGAGGTGGAAGTCTTTGGGGCAGTAGAGGTGAGAGGGATGCTCTAGAACATTTTTCCTATGGAAACAGAAATCAAATGAACATTCTGGAAAGTGGTGTTGGTGAGCTCTGGTGCTCTGGGATGGGGCTGGAGTGTCCTTGACCTTCCCAAAGCCCACAGCCACCACCCCACCTCCACAGACTTGCTGCTCCAGGCTGGCCTGCCTGTGAGCCACACCATCTGCTTAGGGAATAAAGTCCACCTGAGGCTATGTTTGCCTCACCTGGGAACAGTTTCCTGCTTGCTGTGCTGCCCTGATCTAGATCTAGCTGTGCTGAAGGGAACTTAGGGAGACTCACCGGTGGCTCAGCCCTGGGGAATTTCCTGTGCCCCTGGAGCCAAGGTGAGTCAGGGACCTGTACAGGGGGCTGGAGCTGGGGGCAGGGGGGTAATGTGGGTTCAGCCTTTGTATCATCTCCTCTGCCTTCTCCGTCAGTATCCAGAAGGTTTCAGGTTCATGGTGAAGCCCCTGGTGGCCCCAGAGATTCTGCGATCCAGGGGAGCATCTTACCCTCTGGCACATCGATTGTTAAGAGCCGGATCCTTGACAGGTGGACACTTGGGAAGTGCTTTTTGACAACTGCCATTATTATCACTGTTTTGATGGTTTATGGAGCCGTTGCTCTGTGCTGGGCATCAGGCTCAGAGCTGTACATCCAGCAGGTCACTGCATCTTCGGGGGCACGGCCGAAGCTGAGGCTCTGGGAAGCTCGGTACTTTGCTGGAGCAGAGGCACTGGGCTTCGGATTCCATCACAAGGCATCCCGGACCGTTGCTCTGGCAGAGATGCCCTCTCTGCTTTTCTGGGGCCTCAGCTTTCTGAGCCCTTTATTGTTACTGGATGTGGTCCACCGTGGGAAAGACGGAGGTGAAGCTGTTGCAGTCAGGCAGGAATGTCACTTGGGCATCCTTGCACATGCTCATACAGTCTGAAGGCAGGGGCCTCCTTGAGATTCCGAGCTGTTGCTTTTATAATTGTGGTAAAATACACATAACATAAAATTCTCATTTTTAAGTGTTCAGAGGTATTAAGTACATTCCCATTGTTGTGCATCCATCGCCTCCAGCCATCCGTAGAACTTTGATTATCTTGCAAAACTGAAACTCTGTATCCATTGAACAGTAACTCCCCATTCCCTCCTCCCCCAGCCCCTGGCAGCCACCCTTTTACTTTCTGTTTCTGCAAGGATTCCAGAGGTTTGCCCTTTGTCTGTCCCGCCCAGAACCTCCCTGGAGCGCCCCCACCAGGCAGCAATGCAAGGATGCCCGTCTCTGCCTCGCTCCACCAAGATGGCAGCCAGGAGCGGCCCGTGAGCCTGACCTCCACCACTTCCTCGTCAGGCTCCTCCCGTGACAGCCGCGGGGCCATGGAGGAGCCCAGCGGCTCCGACGCTTCGGCCGAGAACGGGGCCGGCTCCCCGCGCGGCCGGCGTCTCCCCAACAACAACTCCGGCAGCTGGCTGAGCATGAGGGGCTCCCTGTCCCCTTTCAGCAGCCGGGCGTCGGTGGCGCCTGCGCACAAGCTCAGCTACGTGGGTCGAGTAGTGCGGGAAATCGTGGAAACGGAGCGCACGTACGTGCAGGACCTGCGCAGCATCGTAGAGGTGAGGCTCACCCCTCGCCCCCCGCGGGGCTTTGGAGCTAAGGTTGGGAGGGGATCCCCCTCTCCTCTGGGGCTGGGGCTGGCCTCTGGCTTCGGGTGGCCCAGCTCTCGCGCATAAACCTACTTCCACCCAGGGAAGGAAAGTCGTCCCTGACATGTTTGTCTCCAGGAGCTGCTTCCCATGGAGTAGTGGGGAGGCCTCACGGCTCTGGCCCCGGGAAGCCACTGGCGGCTCACGCTGCCTTATGACTTGGGGTCCGATCAGTAGCTTGGGCCAGCAGAACTTCCTGCAGATGCTCGGGGCGTAGGCACCCCTGATAGGGAGCGGGGACAACTGTGCCTAGCTGAGACTGAACCGCAGTGAAGAAACTGGCTCTGGACCCCACCCGGCCCGCGCCCAGATTCCTGCCCTGTTGTTTCCTGCTTACGGGGTCTTGGGCACCTGCGTAAACCACCCGCACAGCGCCCAGCCTCAGGTTCCTCATCCATAAATTGAAGATGCAGGGCCTCGCAGGGCCATGTACGGGTGCTTCACACTGGGAGGCACACTGGGCGAGGTGACCGTGTGAGGGAGCTCTCTGCCCTTCGGAGGGAGGTGTATTCATTTCCTAGGCCTGCCTAGCAGACAACCACAAATTGGGGCTTAAGGCCCATTAGTTTATCCTGTCCTAGTTTATGAGGCCAGAAGTCAAAAATCAAGATGCTGGCAGGGTTGGTTCCTTCCGGAAGCTCTGAGGGGGGGAGTGCGTGCCAGGGCTCTCCTAGCTCCCGGAGGTTGCTGGCAACCCTTGGTGTTCCTTGGCCTGCAGATGTATCACCCCAGTTTCCACCTCCGTCTTCACATGGCCTTCTCTGTGTCTCTCTGTGTCCTCTTATAAGGACACCAGTCACTGAATTTAGGGCCCACCCTAAATCCAGTATGGTATCATCTCAAGGTCCTTAATCGTTACATCTGCAAAGACCCTATTTCCAAATAAGGTCACATTCTGAGGTCCCAAGTGGATATTACATCACCCAGTACAGTAGGTGATGTCTGTGAAATTGTGTCATAGCTGTAACATGCAGTACAGAAATGAGGTGTGGCTGGGGGAGAAGAGGGAAGACGGGAAGGGACAGGATCATGCCTGGGGGGCTGGGCCCTGACGCCTCACTCCACGCAGGACTACCTCTTGAAGATCATTGACACGCCTGGGCTGCTGAACCCGGAGCAAGTCAGTGCCCTTTTTGGGAACATAGAAAGCATCTACGCACTGAACAGGTATGGAGCGGGCCTGACATGCACCATGTTCTGCCTGTGAGGCCCATCTCAGGGCCTAGGGAGGAGCCCCGGATGTCCCTGGTCTCGTGGGCTGTGACACGTGGGCCAGGGTCTGATCTCTGAGGGTGGGGAAGGGTGGTCCATCCCTGTACAGTGGTATAGTTAGCTCCCTGCAGGAGAGGGGGCCTGTGGGACCGTGTGCCCTGGGGCTGATGTGCTTATTTGAGGCTGTGTTCATGTTGGGTCCAGCCTGGGCCAGCACCCCTCAGGGGACTGCTGAACCCTTGCACGTGATGCGCTCTCCCCTGTCCGTTCGTGGCCCCTTTGTCCCTCTCATCTTGGTCGCCCAGTGCAGATCTCTTCGTTTCTCCTCCACCTTCCCACTGATTCCGTGGGAAGTCGGGGCTCCCTGGAGGTGATCTGACCCATTAGGGGAACACACAAGCCAGGCAAAGCGGGATGAGGGAGGCCGAGCGAGGCCTGGCGAGGGGCTGCTTCAGGGCAAAGGGGCTCCACGAAGATCACACATGAGTGGCTCCCGGGGCCCCCAGACTCTCCAGAGAGAGGGCACTGGTCCGGAGGAGCAGAGCTTGTGGGGACAGCATTGATAGGACAGGAGGAACCTTACCCCAGGCACATTAAGATGGGCAGAGGGACTTCCTGCTGGTCAAGCTGGGAGGGCAGACGGAGGCGAGACTTAGGCGGGGGGGTGGGGTGGGGGGGGTTGGGCAAAGAGGAGCACAGGAGGGGAAGGCAGGGGGAGCATTGGGGTTTCCTCTAGAGCCCCCATTTAAGAACAAGCAGTGCTGGGAGACTCACCCTGTCTCTCCCCTTTCCTGCATCCTTCTGAACTGGGGGCCTTGGTTTCTTTGCGAGTTCCCCCTCTCTCCTTCCCCCTTTAATGTCTGCTTTTGTGTGTTTGACCCCTGCCTGCAGAGGAGCTGTGTCCCCTCCCAAGGTGGGTACTGGTGTCCCTTCTCCCTCTCCTGCTTGTGGAACGCATGGCTCTTTTTTGTCCCCCACCTTTGCAGTGGTGCTGGATACTTTCTGTGTTGGCTGCCCCGGGCAGGGCTCGCTGACACCAGGGCTGGCGTGTGTGTGGGCACCAGGAGGGTGGGGAGGGAGTGTAGTGGTGACTGGAGGCTGCGAGCGGTCCGGTGTCTGATGACCATTCTGCCCTTACCCAGCCAGCTACTCAGAGACCTGGACAGCTGCAATAGTGACCCGGTGGCTGTGGCCAGCTGCTTTGTGGAAAGGGTAAGAAGGGCGGGGTCCTTGCCTCCATCCTGCCTTGCTGGGGGCCTCTCTCCAGGGGAAGTGCTGAGTGCCCGGCCTCAGACAGGAAGGCATTTGGGGTGGAGCCAGGGGCTGCTGGGTGGATGGCATGTCCGAGACAGATGGGTACAGAGGTGGATCTGCAGATGCTCGGGGAGGGTGTGCTCTGGGGGCCAGGGGCATGTGTTTGATACACCCAGGTTTATAGTCAAACGGGAGGCTCCCTGAAATTACTAATTTTGGTCTTTCTTTAGAGCCAAGAGTTTGATATCTACACCCAGTATTGCAACAACTACCCCAAGTGAGTAATTAGGGTGGAGAGGGGAAGCAGAGCCATTTGGCGAGTCCAGAGCACCCCACCTCCCCACGCAGGCCTTCCCCTGGTGACGGCCCCTTCCTCCACTCCCAGCTCAGTGGCCGCCCTCACTGAGTGCATGCAGGACAAGCAGCAGGCCAAGTTCTTTCGGGACCGGCAGGAGCTGCTGCAGCACTCACTGCCCTTGGGCTCCTACCTCCTAAAGCCAGTCCAGCGCATCCTCAAGTACCACCTGCTACTCCAGGTAACCCCAGGGTGCTCCCGAGTACACAGGGCCTGAGGGAGGGGCAGGGCCCTTGAGTCTGGGCTGCCTAAGCCCCTGTCTCCCGCACAGGAAATCGCCAAACATTTTGATGAAGAAGAGGACGGCTTTGAGGTGGTAGAGGATGCCATTGACACCATGACTTGCGTGGCCTGGTACATCAACGACATGAAGAGGAGACATGAGCACGCAGTCCGGCTCCAGGTGCTCTGGGGCCGGTAGCTAGAGGGACAGGCAGGGGTGGGGCGGGGTTTGGAAGAGGGAATGCGAGCTGAAGGGTGGTGTCGGGGAGGATGGGCTTCTCTGGGGGGAGCCCTTGGTGCAGCATGTCTCTGCAGAACCCAGGCGGTGGCTCCTGGGGCCCTGTGTGGTTCCCAGCAGGGTCTCGAGCACCCTGACCCTGGGGGTCGGGGATTCGCTGCTGCAGGAGATTCAGTCTCTGCTCATCAACTGGAAGGGGCCAGACCTGACCACCTACGGGGAGCTCGTCCTGGAGGGCACATTCCGCGTGCACCGTGTGCGCAACGAGAAGACCTTTTTCCTCTTTGACAAAGCACTGCTCATCACCAAGAAGCGGGGAGATCACTTTGTCTACAAGGGTCACATCCCGGTAACGAGGCCACCGCCATCTCCTCTGCCCCCTTCCCACCGTCCTGACGGCCGGGCTCCACTCCGTGTCGCCTTCACCGGGCCCCGGGTTGGTGTGGACGCAGCTCCACCCTTAAAGATTACTCTCCCTGCCTCCCCAGATGGTCTTGAGGGGCTGGGGCCCCAGGTCAGCTCCCCGCCTCGTGCTTGACTGCCCTCTCCCTCTGCCCCAGTGCTCCTCCCTGATGCTGATTGAGAGCACCAGAGAATCCCCGTGCTTCACCGTCACACACTACAAGCACAGCAAACAGCAGTACAACATCCAGGTGAGGGGCGGGCTGGGGCGCGGGCTGGGCACAGAACCCGCCCCCTCGCGCTGCGGCGCGAGCCTCAGAGCCTCCCTCTGGAAGGGAGAGGTCGTTGTGGGCACCTCTCAGGCTTGTGCTGAGGAGTCAAGGTAACCTCACAGAGCCCCCAGCACAGGCCCTCTTTGGCCTCTGCCCTCCTCGGCAGAAGCCCAGCGCACGCTGGATGGCTTCAGGCCTGTCATGATAACCCCCGCACCCTCTCCCTCGGGTCCTCCCAGGCCAAAACTGTGGAGGAGAAACGGAGCTGGACTCACCACATCAAGAGGCTCATCCTGGAGAACCACCATACCACCATCCCCCAGAAGGTGAGTTCCCAGGGCTCCTGATGGGGTACAGGGAGAGGGTCCCTCAGAACCAGCTCCGGGGTCCACTGGGGCCTCACCTTCTGGACGTTGGCCCCACTGGACAGTGGGGATCGGTTCCGCAGATGCCACGGTCCTCGGTGCAGCAAGAGTAAGTCTTTGGGCCGAGGGAGAAAACGGCACGTACCAAGGTAGCAACGAGGTGGGTTTCCTTTCCCTTCCAGGCCAAAGAAGCTATCTTGGAAATGGATTCCTATTGTAAGTGTACCCTTTCTGCCTGCCTTGTCCCTAATGGTGCACATCTCTAGGTCAGACCTGAGGAAGCTTTGCCTGATACTTACATTCCAGAGAGCAGGGAGGGTGGGGAGGCTCCTTCTGTCAGGACTGGGGGTCTACTGCAAGACTAGGGCTCAGTGCTGCTGGTGGCTGGGACTCTGTGCCTCGTGCTCCTGGATGGAAGAGGACGGAAGATGGAAGAGGGGGGAGCTCTGGAGTCTTGTGGCCCCTGGAGCTTGGCTGGGCAGCAGAGTTGTGGTCAGGAACGGGCAGAGTCCACGCCAAGGCTGATGGTATCCCAAAGGCCTGGTTGTCTCTCTTGGGTGCAGATCCCAATCGGTACCGCCACAGCCCAGAGCGCCTGAAGAAGGCCTCCCAGGATGAGGCGTCCACCCATGTGCACCAGGGGCGCCGGCAGTCTGGTAAGGCAGGGGCTGTGCGGGCAGAGGCTTCTTTCCAGGACGCTTGAGCATGCGGGGAACCTTCTGCAGCAGCATCTGGGGCTGGCTCTCACCCTCCGGAAATCCTGGGAAGGGCAGGAAGGAGGGTAAAGGGGTGTGTCTGTAGCATCCTGCCTTCCACCAGGCCCCTCTGGGCCCTTCCTGCCCACCCAGGGCTGGACAGCCCTCCTTTTCCAAGGCCCCCCTTCTTAGCTCCTCTGCGATCAAAACCTTAGAATACTGGGAGTCAGCCAGAGTAACGCTCAGACGTCATGGATGGTCCCCAGCCCAGTTCTGGAACAGAGCAGAGGCAGGATGTGGGGAAAATGAGTTAGATTTCAAGTGGCACCAAATCCAGACAGGAAATATTTACTTTGGGTCTCAGGGAAAAGTTCTGCTTTCCTGGGTTTTCTTTCATGACGGCTTGCTGCTGTGTACTTGGAGGTATTGGAGTGAATCGTCTGTTGAAAAGAGAAAACCTTGATTTTTATTCTCGGCTCTTGTAGTGGTGAATGTGTGTGTTTTCTGCCTCGGTTTTTACCCTCGCCTTCAGTCGAGGCCCAGGGATGGATTTGGCTTCGGCCAGGCACTTGTCAAACTTACGCATGAGGTGGGAGTTGGGGTGAGAACCATCTCAGAGACCCCTAGAGAGAAAGATTCAGGAGTGATGGGAGATATGTCCTGACTGGGATCCCCACAGTGAGTTGGGTTTGATTAGCATGACTCACGGGTCCTCTGAGCAGCTGTGTGGATTGATGTACGGGCTTTGGTCTTCTGGAGGGTGGAGCTGAGCGGTCTTTGGAATGCTTTTGTGTTTTTGTTTTGTTTGGTATTGCTGCTGATGGATCTCGAACCCTAGGGAAACTTGCCATGGTTGCAAAAGTTCTACGGTGCTGTGTGTTAAAAGCCCCAAATTGGCTTGCAGGATCTTAGTTCCCCGACCAGGGATCAAACCCAGGCCCTTGGCAGTGAAAGCACGGAGTCCTAACCCCTGGACTGCCAGGGAATTCCCCCCTTTCCTTTCTTCTCCTATAATTCTTCTGTCCAACATTCCCCCTTAACTTGCCATAGCTTTGAACTGGAAGCTTCTGACACGTGGAGGTAGTCAGTAAGTGACTGTGGTGATGGTGGTAATAGTAACACTACCTGTCATAACGTCAGCTTCCAAACTGCAGCAAGCAAGGCACTCAGGAAATGATCCGTTTCAGAGCTCAAGTTTCCACAAGGCTGAGATTTTAGCCTGTAAACGCTAAGAGTTGGGTTTTGTTTGTTTTCATGTTTTAGTTTTAATTGTTATGAAACAGACATCTTTCTAAAACATGCTTCATACGCTTGAGCCTTATAAAATAGAGGAGGCCCACACAGTCGAACTTTTCCCTTTCTGAGGTCGGTGTAGCAGCATCTTTGTGGCGTGTGAACAGCTCCATATTCTGGGGCCTTGGGGGGAGGCGGGGCTGTGGGTTGCCATAGAGACAGCTGGCATTGAGGTGTTGTGTCCATCTTTACACTGAAGAGTTCTCCTTATCAGTCTTGGCATGCTTTTCTTTAGTAGCCCTTCCTTCTTCCCTCTTCTGTTAGAAATTAATCTATTTAATGTGCGGGAAGCGTGTGTAAAAGCAGGCCAGTGAGTGGATGAGAGGTAGGATACAGGCCAGTGGAAGTGCTTTAGGGCCTGCTCTCAGCCATCTACTCTGACTGCCTCTGGACCTTTTCTGCTTCCTGCTTCCAGAGAGCTGGGATGGACAGATAAGTACACTGTGTGGATAAGTAAGGTGGCGTTGTCATCATTTGTCACTTATTAAATATTCTTTTATTTATTTATTTATTTATTGGCTGCGTTGGGTCTTTGTTGCTGCACACGGGCTTTCTCTAGTTGTGGCGAGCGGGGGCTACTCTTCGTTGTGGTGCGCGGGCTTTTCATGGCTTCTCGTTGCAGAGCACGGGCTCTAGGCACGTGGGCTCAGTAGCTGTGGTGCACGGGCTTAGTTGCTCCTTGGCATGTGAGGTCTTCCCGGACGAGGGCTCGAACCCGTGTCCCCTACATTGGCAGGCGGATTCTTAACCACTGTGCCACCAGGGAAGTCCGCTTATTAAATATTCTTGATTACAAGTTTTAAAATGAAAGAGAAGAGCATTTTGTATTTCTCACTCTAAAAACAATTGGATATCTACTTACCTCGGTGCAGATAGAGTGTAGGTATGTGTGTGCCCATGCACATTTAGAAAAAAGTTCTTCAGTCTGCTCTCCTGTCCAGGAACAGCTGAGAGACCTCAGTAGACTTTCCTTGTGGCTCCAAGTTTATAGTGGGCCTCCCACTGAATGCCAGTTCGACAAGGGCAATATGAGCTAAGGGCAAGGTTCTGTAGACAGGTTCCTTGAGACATGCCTCCCTATCTCAGGTCTGTCCCCAGAAAAGGTGGGTTGCGAGGTGCTGACACCATCAGCCTAATGGATGTGTTTTGTATTCTGTCCTCAGAGCCTGGTCAGCTCGTGTACAACCGGGCAACACTCCCCAGCAGGCAGCGAGGCTTCACGGTGCCAGGCCTTAAGGGCCATAGAAAGTCGGGTGCGACCTCTGCTTTCCAGCTGGGGTGCTGTGAAGGGGCTTGGCGTTGGGTGTAGCTAAGGCGCTGATGTGCTCCGTGCAGGGAAGGAAGGTGGGGCTTGTGGTGGAGCCAGGGCCCTCAAGAGAGGCTTGTCATCCTGAAGGGGGCAGCAGGGGGCTGTGGCCCTGGAGCTGAGGGCCCCGGGCTGTGTGCTAACGCAAGGATGGGGGGCGGGGCTGCTTCTTGGCTGTGGGTCACAGCAGAGTCCCCAGGCAGGTGGGGGCAGCGGCCTGGGCCCTGTCTCCCTGTGGGCTGGTCGCGAGGGCAGCCTCCTTCAGGCCCTCAGGCTGTGGGGGCCCCACTGGAGTGGACTTTGAGCTGATGATGGGGGTGTGGCGCTGCGAGCGAGCGTGGGACCAGGGCCAGGCCGGGCTGCTTCAGGCCTGCTCTGACTGCCCGTTCGCTTTCCTCATCAGAGCCATCCAGACATCTGCTCAGGCAACACAGCGAGAAAGGTGAGTGAGTGAGGGGTGGACAGGCACCACCTCCTTTAAGGTGCGCTCTAGGGCGGGGGTGGGAGGGTGAAGCTGGCGACCAGCAGGGTGTGGGCGTTGCGGACAGTTCAGAGGGGATTCTGCCTCGTTCTGCCCTGGAAGTGGGCCTCACCCCTTGCTGTCCGGGTTCCCCCTGCACACCTTGCACCCTGTCTCTCTGCCCTTGGGTGACAGCAGGAGCGAGTGACCGTGCCATTCTGCACCCCCGGCTCCCGGTCTGTCAGTCATTCCTTTGAAAGCCCGGGAGACCTGGTGAAGGTTCTGGGAGCAGAGCCCCTGACGCGCTCTCGCCCGGGGGCTCTGGGCCTCAGGCCTCTGTGAGGGGGCTCTTTCTCCGGGTTACTGATCTCCGCTCCCCCTCCCCCTCGCCGCTGTGCCGGGACCCGGTGGTGGCGGAGCAGCCAGAGCAGCAGGAATGAAGGTAAGGCCAGGGGCACACGGGACAGCCTTGGGGGACAGCCCAGGTCAGCCCCCATCATCTTCCTTCACTCAACAAACACCTGTCGAGCACCTACTGTGCGCCAGGCTCTGTCATGAGGGTCACGGAGATGAATAAGCCGTGGCCCTTGCCCAGGGGACCCTTCTGTACCCTTTTCCTGGAGTGGCACCCTGGTGGTGGCCGGCCCGGCCGGGATCCTCTCATTTTGCCCTCTCCCTGGGGCAGGCAGGCCTCTCTGGATCCTGAGTTCCTGAGCAGACCCCAGTCCCAGCTTCCCACCTCGAGAACCCCCTGCTTCACGTGGGAGCCTAGTGGAGACCAGGGGTGGGGGGGTCTAGATGTGGCTTTCTCTGTGAAGCCTCCCCAGCCCCAGCTGCTGCAGGAGGAGGGGGGCTGCCCTGAGGCCTGTCACGAGGGGGCCTTGTGCTCTGAACAGCATGCGGGCAGTGTTGGCATGCTCCTGGACTTTGAACAGCCCCCCTGTGCTCGGGGCCTGCAGTCGGAGGCTGAAGGGGCTGCCCGGGAAGAGGAGGAGGAAGAACAGGCCTTTCAGGTCTCCCTGGAGGACCTGGCAGGGCATGAAGGCCGCGAGCAGGGGGCTGGGCCAGAGCCCCCAGGCGAGGAGGAGGAGGAGGAGGAGGAGAGCCTGGCAGTGGCGGAGCAGGTAGCCGACTTTGCCAGCTCCCTGCTGGCCGCCCTCCACTGCTGGCACTATCGGGCCAACGCTTTACTTTTCTCCCGGGGCGCTATGGTGAGGTGTCTCTTCGATCTCCCCCTCCTCCTTGCATGCCCCCTGGCACGCGCATGCCCGTCCAAGAGTCTCCTCCCCTGCCCTTCTCATCCCTCCGTCCTTGTTCCTTCCTTCCTGCCATCAGCACTTCTTAACACCTTGCTCACTGTCACGCCCTGGTGAGCCCCTGGCATTCGTTGTTCCAGCACTGGGTGCTAACCAGCATGCTACTCAATGGGCATGACTAATGGGGCGTGGTGGGGGGAGGGGGAGAGGCCAGCACACAGGGAGCCGCATGCCTGGCAGGGATTTCTTTTTTTTTTTTGGCGGTACGAAGGCCTCTCACTGCTGTGGCCTCTCCCGTTGCGGAGCGCAGGCTCAGCGGCCATGGCTCACGGGCCCAGCCGCTCTGTGGCATGTGGGATCCTCCCGGACCGGGGCACAAACCCGTGTCCCCTGCATCGGCAGGCAGACTCCCAACCACTGCGCCACCAGGGAAGCCCCTGGCAGGGATTTCTGAGTCCCCAGACCTGGCAGTTCAGGCTGACTCTGGAATGGCTCAGGTCCAACACTGGATCTCAACGCAGCCCAGCCCCTTTGGGGCTCAGGAGATGCTGCCAGGGTTGGGATGCAGAAGGGACCAGCTCCCCGTTGTCCTGGGAGCTGACGACTACCCTCTGCTTGCTGCAGGGGAAGGGGCGCAGGGAGCCCGAAGACCCCAAGAGCTGCCGAAGGCCCAGCAGCCGATCTCCAACCACCGCTGAGAAGTGCCTGAGCTTTGAGTCTGTGTCTTCCCTGCCGGAGGTGAGGGGCCAGCAGGCGGAAGCGGGGTAGTGCAGAGGCGCCTGAGCCCAGATCTCCAGCTCTGCAGATGGGGCTTTCAGGCATGGGCTGTCCCGTTGGGCCCACGGGGACAGGGGATGCCACTCCCTAGGACTCTCGGGCCCTCAGGAAGCCTGTCTGGCCTGTGGGCATGCGGCTTGGTGACCGACAGCCTCTTACTCTGAATTAGAAAAGGTGCCTCTTCCTTTGGGCAGATGCAGTCTCTGGCCAAGGGGCACAGTTATTGGAAGTGACCAGATTATAGGTCCCCTTGGCCAGGGCTCCTTGCATAGAGCATAAAGTCCTGCCCTGCTAGTGTGCCAGACACTTAAATCATGCCTGTCCCACCTGGCAAAGGAGTAAGGTGTCAATATCTACTGGGCACTTCCTGCGTGCCTGATGTTTTGTTTCTTCCTTCTGTTTCCTGAGCCAGCTCTACCAGGGAGAACAAGACTCAGGTTAGGTTGACGTGCCTGGCATTGCGCAGCTACTAAGGGACAGAGCTCAGATTAGCCTTGGGTCTGTGACCCAGAAGCCTGCACTCTTTTTCCCGCCACCCCACGATATCTGGGGGTTATGTGGAATGGAGTCCTTTGCTCTCGCAGAGTTCCAAGGAAAAGTTCATGAGGCTTAGACCCTGGGGTGGGCCTCACAGCCAGGACATTGAGAAGCCTGGGTGACATTGGAAAAGAGTTCAGAATGGTGCTGTCCGGTGACAATAGAATGTGAGCCTCGTGTAATTTTATTTATTTATAAAATTTTTATTTATTTAAAAAATTTATTTATTTATTTTGGCTGCGTTGGGTCTTCGTTGCTGTGCGTGGGCTTTCTCTAGTTGTGGCGAGCAGGGGCTACTCTTCGTTGCGGTGCGTGGGCCTCTCATAGCGGTGGCTTCTCTTGTTGCAGAGCACGGGCTCTAGGTGCACGGACTTCAGGAGTTGTGGCTCCCGGGCTCTAGGTGCGCGGGCTTCAGTAGTTGTGGCTCCTGGGCTCTAGAGCGCAGGCTCAGTAGTTGTGGCCCACGGGCTTAGTTGCTCTGCAGCATGTGGGATCTTCCTGGACCAGGGCTGGAACCCATGTTCCCTGCATTGGCAGGCAGATTCCTAACCACTGCGCCACCAGGGAAGTCCCCTCATGTGTACTTTTAAATATTCTAATAGTCACATTAAAGAATTATTTAACCCAGTTTTTCCAAACTACTATCATGTCAACATGTAGTGTGTTAAAAAGCTGTTAATGAGGTATGCTGCACTCTTTTGGTATGAGGTTTTTGCAGCGTGGACTGGCTACATTTCAGATGCTCAGGAGTCACGTGTGGTTGGCAGCCATTGTGTTGGACATTACAGGCCTGGCTCCTGGGTCCCACTGTGCAGGTTCTAGACTAGAACGATTGGAATCGGGTCTGATTCCTCAGGCTATAGAGTGTTATCCTGTGTTCTCCCTAAAGATTCCTCTGGAAAGCTGCCTGTACTGGCTGGTTTTATGATTCAAATGACCTTCAAGGTGGTCAAGAGAGAGCTGCCAACTTTGCTTCCTTCCTTGCCATCCGCTGCGCACATGCAGAGTCCTGCACAGGGGCGGAGGCTGGCTGGCAGGAGCCACATCCCCGCCTTTACCCTCTGACAGGATTCCAGCACGTGGTCCTACTGCCCTCTGGATCCTGATCCACACGGGAGACCCTGGCCCCTCAGGGAAGTTGTTTAGGCCCGGGTTTCAACCCAGAACAACCCCCATGTGGGGAACTACTGGGGCTTGAGGGAGCCGCCTCCCCTCAGGCAGGGGAGTCCTGGTGCCGTGGCTCTGACCCCATGCTGCATGTTCCCACCTTGTCCGTGTACTTTCCAGGCAGGCTGCCACTGAGAGGTGCCACCACTTTACCCCATCTGTATTCCTAGAATTTTTCTTGGGTTTGAGAATGTGGGCCCAGCACCCCAGTTGCAGGGTGACTAAGGGACATCCTCTCCCTAAGGACCTGCTGCCCACTCCTGAGTCATGCTCATTCTGATTGCCTGCAGTCCTAAACCGCAGCCCCTCTCACTAGGCTTTGAGCAGGCTGTGCTGTCCCCACATCCCCCCGGGTCACATGAGGGAGGTTTTTGGCTCATATGAGCTCTTTATGCTCTCCCAGGTTGAGCCAGACCCTGAGTCTGGGACAGAGCAGGAGGTGTCTGCTGCCATGGAAGGTCCCAGGACCGAGGAGATGCCCTCAGACACAGAGGCTCCAGAAGTCCTAGAAATACAGCTTGACACCCACCAGCTGCTGCTGGGACTGGACCCCCCGGGTGACATGGTGGACTTCATGGTGGCCGAGAGCACCGAGGACCCTAAGGTCCTGAGCAGTGAGGACGAGGAGGAGGAGGTGGGGGCCGCCCACGAGCCCGAGAGCCTCCTGCCTCCCTCTGTGCTGGACCAGGCCAGCGTCATTGCCGAGCGGTTCGTCAGCAGCTTCTCTCGGCGGAGCAGCCTGGCGCTGGAGGACGGCAAGTCCAGCGGCTTCGGGACCCCGAGGCTGACCAGCCGGAGCAGCAGTGTGGTCAGCCTAGAGGACAGTGAGAAGGGCCTGGCCCGACGTGGGAGCACCACAGACCCCCTGGGCTCTCAGCTCCCTCCAGAAGCGGACATCAGTATGGGGGTGGCCGCAGAGAGCGACCCTTCTGTCAACGGGACAGAGACCCAGAGCCCAGGCTGCCCAGCGGAGCCAGACAGGCCTTCCTGCACGAAGGAATCGAAGCTTTCTTCCCGAGACCGGCTGTTGTTGGACAAAATCAAGAGCTACTATGAAAGTGCAGAGCACCACGATGCAGGCTTCAGTGTCCGGCGCCGGGAGAGCCTCTCCTTCATCCCCAAAGGATTGGTGAGAAACTCAGTCTCCAGAATCAACAGCCTTCCCAGGCCAGACTCGGAGCCAGTGGCTGCGCTGGGGCATAAGAGACAGGTGGGTTCGCGGGCAGCCTCGTGGGCCCTCTTCGACTACCCAGGACCAGGCCAGGCTCGTGCTGGGGACCCAGCTCCCATCACAGATGCTGAGTTCCGCCCGTCTTCGGAAATTGTGAAGATCTGGGAGGAAGTGGAGTCTCCTGAGGGCAGCCCTGGGAAGGGACCAGGCCAAGGCCAGGCCAATAGCTTTGACCTGCACGAGCCCCTCTTCATCCTGGAGGACCGTGAGCTGGGGGCCATCACTGAGGAGTCGGCTGCTGCCTCGCCGGAGCGTGCCTCCCCCACTGAGCCCCCCAGCCCGGCCCACCTGGCCCGGGAGCTGAAGGAGCTGGTGAAGGAGCTGAGCAGCGGCACCCAGGGGGAGCTGGTGACCCCGCTACACCCCCGCATCCTGCAGCTCTCCCACGTGATGGACAGCCACGTGAGCGAGCGAGTCAAGAGCAAGGTCTACCAGCTGGCTCGCCAGTACAGCCTCCGGATCAAGAGCAAGTCGGTGACGGCCAGGCCACCGCAGCCGTGGGAAAAGGTGGCTGCTACCACCCCCCACCTGCAGCCGGAGGCTGGAGCACCATCTGCTGGCAGAGGTATGAAGGGGGTGGGGCAGAGGGCCCTGCCTGCAAGCCTGGGATGGAAGCACCTTTTAGGAGCCAGCTGGATTCTGGGAAAGTGACCCCCTAAAGGACCTCTACCAAAAAGAGGGCTGGGGCGAGTCCTGGAGCGGGTCTAACACTCAAGGCCAAGCTCCTTCTGTGGAGCAGAGGGCCTGTGGCCACGGGCCTCTGTTTTCCAGGAGAGCAGAAGCTCTCGTCTCTTCCTTTGACCCCTGACCCCACCCCACCCCCTTTTCTTCATTCTTCCCATTTCCCTTCGGTAAGGGCGCCGTGGATGGTCAGTGAGGTTTCTCTCCCATCACACGCAAACCCCCAGCAACCAGCCTCGCCTGGAAGGGGAGTTGAGGTCAGTCCAGAGCCCTCATGTCCTCTTGCTCCCTCCTGCACAGGGGTTCAGGCGGCTCGCTGTCTCCTCACAGGTAAGAGGAAACCAGTGCTGTCTCTCTTCAACCACGAGCAGCCCACGGCCCAGGAACACAGCCCGCCCAAGTCCGGCTCTGCCAGGGAGGTATCGCCGCGGCGTTCCTCCTTCAGCCCCTCGGCCACCAGCCCGAGGACCACCTCGCCTGGGGCCTGGCACATCCCCCGAAGCCCCCTCAGCCCCTTGGACACCGAGACTTTCAACTGGCCCGACGTCCGAGAGCTCTGCTCCAAATACGCCTCCCAGGACGAGGCGCTCCAGGCCAAGGGCAGCCGGCCACGCAACCTGCCCGTCAACCGGAGCCACTCGCTGCCGGAGAACATGATGCAGCCGCAGCCGCCCCTGTCGGGGAAGGTGGGCCGCTGCTGCAGCCTGAACGCCAGGAGGGCTCCGGCAGGCCCAGGGGTCGTCCAGCCTCAGCCTCTGGCGGGGTCATCCCCAAGCGCGCTGGGTGGAGGGGAGGCCCTGTATGTCACCGCAGACCTCACACTGGAGGACAGCCGGCGGATGGTCATCATGGAGAAGGGGCCCCTGTCCGACCCCAACGCGGGACTGGAGGCAGCCAGCGGGCGGGGACCGAGCTCACCAGCAGCCCAGGCGGGGCAGGGCCCGGAGTTCCAGGAGTGTGCAGAGTATCGGCCTAAAGAAGAGGGTCCCAGGGACCTGGCAGACCCAAGCCAGCAGGGCAGAGTGAGGAGCCTGCGGGAGAAATTCCAGGCCTTGAACTCCACAGGTTGACACTGAGTCCTGGGGGAGGGAGCAGCTGTGCCAAGGGACGGGGAGGAACGGTGGCATCCTCGATCACAGCCTGGGCTCACCGTGCTCACCCGGGGCCCTCAGAAAGGCTGCCCCTGGGAGAGCGCCCTGGGGCACCGGGCAAGGGCCTTCACCTGCCGCGGGCGCGCCAGTGACTTGCGAGCCCCTTTGCCCTCCGAGGCCAGTGTGGCCACTTCCCTTGTATATAGTTCTTCTCTAGTAAGAGGCCAGATAGTTAAGCTCATTTCTTCCCAGGGAGAGCGAGCCCTGCTCAGGCCTCCAGTGTTGCCTGGCCGCTGCCAGACTGAGGGCCCACCCAGGGGACACACAGGAGTGTGGCCTGGGGAGGCTTTGTTCTTTAACTGTGCCTTTTCTTAGGAGCCGGGCAGGAACGAGGCCCATAATTTATTGCTTTCTACCCTGTGGTATGTTGGTGTGCTCGCGCGCGTGTGTGTGTGTGAGTGTGTGTTCTGTTGTTGATTTCCCTCCTGGGAAGAATGTCGTGGACTCTGTTCAGGTACTTCTGTGGGTTGCCCTGCTGGCCCCGTGGTTGTCACTAATGTACACACATTTTGTTATTTGCCAACGGTGTAATAACCACTGCTGACCAGCCAACCTGTTGAGTGGTCTCCTTACTGGTGTCTGGCCGGGCTGGGGAGAGGCGCTCGTGCCCAGGCCTGTCTCAGGGGAAGCGGGACGTGGGCGTGTTGCTTTCACAGGTGCTCACCAAGCACAAGGCCCCAGGTGCTGGCGGGAGAGGCTGGGGCAGCAGGATGTGTGGGAGGGGACTTGTTCTGCTGCTTCTGTTCCCACGGGCTTCTGTCTACCCACAGCCTGGCGTCCTGTCTGGGGTAAGGTCAGGGGGCACTGTGCCAGCCTTTAGCTCTTTTCCCCAGGTGCCAAAGTTGGACTGAAAGGGGTGGGGTGGGGGTGGAACATTTTTCTAACAGGCAGGTATTTCCACATCTGGTGCCTTTTATTCTTCTCTCCCTTGCTAGTTCCCAGGAGACATCCTAGGGGGCAAGGATTCTCAACTTGGAGCCTAGAAATATCTGAAGTGTCTGGCAGTATTGGGTGAGGGGTACAGATGCATTTTTTCTGGGATGGAGCCTCATTCTTCATCTTACTCTCAAAAGTGTCTTTGATTCAAAAGGCGTAGGTATGCCCCCTACTTCTGACTGGGTTTTCTGCCTTTTTTTTCCTTGGTGGACCAGCCTTGTTTCGCCCTGTTTCTTCTGGCTGGGGCCTGGGAGGAGTGGGGCTGCAGGGCCAGGTGGTAGAGCTGTCCTGCAGGTCTTCTGACCTGGGAGGACGGACTCAGCCTGAAGATGGGTCTGCTGAGTCTAATGAGGCCAAGGGAGTATCAGAGGCAAGTGGAGGCCTTTCCTGAGCAGAAGCAGAGCAGGGCTGGCCCATGTTCTGCCAGCTGGTCAGAATGGTCTTTGGGCACTTGCACAGTCGCTGAGAGAGCTGGCTTCTACTAGACAAGTCTCTGATGGTGATGCGTAGCCACACACTAGAGTGAGAATCAGGAGATCCAGCCCTGCGTTTAACTAGCCGGGTCACCTAAACTCATGCTTTTTCCTCCTCTGTAAATTAAACAAGATGGATGAGTTGTTGCTTCTCAAATCCTCTGACTCACACTCTTCAGGAGGTGAGGCCTGGGGAGTAGTAGTCAGCACCTTCCCCAGGTGATCCTTACACAGCCCTCTAGGTTATACCTGGGAACCCTGGACCAGCTCAGTGGTTCTTACTGGCTGCCCACTGGAATCATCAGGGGAGGGAACTTTTTGAAAAATGCTGATGTCTAGGTTTCACCCACCCAGACCAATTGAAACTGCGCCTCCGGAGATGAACCCCAGGTGTGTGGATTCTGATTTTCAGATCTCTGTCCTGAGCTCCATGGGGAAAGGCCTGCAGCAGGCCCTCAAGATGGTTGAATGCATGAATAAGCGAGCTTTTCTCAGGGTCTCAAGTGAAGCACAGAACGTAGGTGCCAGCAGAGTTGTTCCCATAAGACTCCAAGGACGGGCCAGGGTCTGGCTGTGCCTCTTGTCTCCACGGCGGTGCTGTGTTCACAGATTCTGCCTTGCTCAATCCACTAGCCCCCTTTGGTCCAGTTCAAAGGGAAATAGGTGAGTCAAATAAGAAACGGAAATATGGAGCATTATTGATTTATTAGAAAAACTAGTAAATGGGTTTTCTCTGGTTGGTGGAAGCACATTTGAGCAGGTGGAGGACAAGGCCCAGCCGGCCTCAGGGCCAGCCCCAGATTGCGTGGTCTGTGCCCAGCAGGGTGGCAGTCCTCTGCAGCCACCTCCTCCCTTGCATCCTCCCTGAGCTTACTTGTCCAAGGGACCGAGCCATGGGGTCCTCTGGATCTCTGCCCCCTCCTATTGAAGGGAGGAGGGTGATCCAGGGCCAGCCTTGGGGACTCTCTTTGCTCTCTGATAGGCAGGAAGAAGGAGTGGGGTGGCGGGGAAGCCGAGCCCTCCCCCCCCCCGACGCCCCCACCCCAGACCTCCTGTTATGGGTGCTAGTGGAGGGGAGGAAGCTCGAGGACCCTCCTTACCTCCCTCAGCCACAGTCAGTTGAGACCAGGGGACAAAGGGGAAGGAGAGAGGGAAGGAGGACCACCTGACTATGCCCAGAAGGAGCTTCCTCTAAACTGCCCTGGGGAGGAATCCTGGTTTGCTGGTGTAGACTGGAGCTGTTTGGGGATACTGTTAAAGAAAAGAACTACAGGGCTCCCCTGGTGGCGCAGTGGTTGACAGTCCGCCTGCCGATGCAGGGGACACGGGTTCGTGCCCCGGTCCGGGAAGATCCCACCCACATGCCGCTGAGCGGCTGGGCCCGTGAGCTATGGCCCCTGAGCCTGCGCGTCCGGAGCCTGTGCTCCGCAGCGGGAGAGGCCACAACGGTGAGAGGCCCGCGTACCGCAAAAAAAAAGAACTACAAAATAGAAAATGTAAGGAGGGAAAAAAGAAACCTTGCCAGGGCACCAGGAGCTTAGCCCCCATGTGGCACAGAGTCCCAGAGCTGGGCCCCTGCAGCCTCAGTCCGGTGAGTTGCATGTCTCGGGGCCTGTGTGATGTGGGGGAGGGATGCGTGGGGAGCTGGCAGTAGATGGTGGGTCACGTGCAGCCGGCTGCTGCCCTTGCCTAGTCTGGGGGCCCAGGGGCGGTGAAATCCTAGCTTTTCCTGGAGGCCCTTTCATTCTTGGGACTGTCCAGTTGCTTGCTGAAATTCTTCACTTCAGGTGCTGCTTTGGCACACGTGGAGGGGAGGGTGGCCCCTAGTCTCTTGGCGCTCTGAAGACTGGCCCATGGGAACAGTTGAGGGAGACTCTTGCCGCTATCTGCCCTGGAGCAGGACATGCCCTCAGATGCACCAGAGGCCTTCTTTATTGCCAGGTGAGTGTCATCACCTCATTGCCTCCTGCCTTGGTTTCCCTAGGTATCGAAGGAGGCTGGTGGGTGGTATAGATTAGGTCCCCTGTGGATGCACAGAGAGCCATAGGGTTAGGCGCATAGAAGCCAAATGAAGACCCTGGCTCCAGAGGTGGGACCACCTGTCAGGCTCCAGCAGAGAACGTCCCTCCTGTGGTTCTCGTCTGCTGAAATCGCCTTCCCTTGACATGGTGGTATTGATCTCGAGCACTAAGGGCTCCTGGGAAGGCCTAGTGACTCTGGATGCCTATGCCTGTGATTTCTGCCTGAGCTTCACCCGCTTCCGGGGGATCATCTCAGTGTGTCTAAGGCTCCTTCCCATGGGGAAGGTGATGGAAACAGTAACTGCTGGCCCCAGGGACCTTTCTGGTCTACCCAGGGGAAATGCCTGCTGCCTGCAACTTAACCCCTCCTTTGGACCTAACCCCAGTTAAGATGCTGGGCTGGAGCTGTATTGCTTTCAGAGAGTGGCGGAGAAAAATCCCTGTGGAACTAGTGGTCTCTTCCATCTGGAAGTCTGACCTCAGCAGCACAGGGAAAGCTATCCCTGGGGATAGAGGTTGCAGGGCCCCTTTTGGCTGTGCTTGGGATTGTGGGGTAGATACCCATGTGGCCCCCTGACTCAAGGCCAGGACCTTCCAGAGGAGCTAAGCAAGGGTGCCCGCCACACCTTAATGGCTTTGGCCCCAGCATTTGTCCAGCCGTCTGGGTTTGTTACGTGGGTCGTAATAAATACCCAGGTGTGGCCACATTTGCCGCCCCAGGGTGACGGGTCATGAAATTTGCTGTCGGTCCAGCCAGCACCGTCAGGTGGTACCAGCTGCAGACAGAACACATGGGGTATTGGGCTTTGGGATACTCTACTCCAGGCATTGCCGTGTCCATCTTGTACCTGGGGACCTGTGCTGTCTCCCTGCAGGGCCCTGGGTCCGAGTGGGATGTTGCTGGTTTGGCAGCTGCTGGGAGTGCAGGAGGACCCCAGGGTGGAGAGGCAGCGCCTTAGGCAGTGTGGAGACCTATCTACCTCCTTCTGGGCTGAGCCCTAAACTGCAACTGTAGTTTTAAAAGAGGGCTGGCTTGAGAGCTTCCTGGTCCTCCCTGCCACCATCGGGGGTGGCAGCAAGGGCTGCTGGAGGCCGCGGGAGCCCCTTTGCACTTAGGACCCATCGATCTTGCAGGGTGCCCCCCACTTTCGGTGGGAGGAGGAGCGAGGAGGGGATGCGGTGGCCCCTGAGGTGAGAGTCCCCGCTCGGAGGAAGCCCAGCGGGGAGGAGGCCGTCGTGTCCCGTCAGTCCCCAGTAGCCCCTGGCCCAGAGCTACCTGAAGCCTCCTTCCTCACGCCCCTATGGGGCAGGTCAGGCATTTCCGGTGTCCTCTTCCCTTTCCCCTTCCCTTTCCCTGGCTGCGACTTAGCAGGAGGTGACCCCAAGCAAGACTTGCTTTGGGAGTGGGCAGCGTCTGAGGAACCCCATCAGCCTTCTTCTCCAGCTTATGTTTGGGGGGGGGACGGGCTGGCACCCCTCAGCCCGGGAGGGGGGCGGGGAGAGGAGGGCGTGGGCCTCGAAAACCATCTCCTGACCCCAGCCCCGGAGGCCCCGAGGGCCGGCGGAGCTGGGAGCTCCGTCCCTGGAGCCCGCGCTCGCCGTGTGCGGGGCGCCGGGCCTGCGGGCAGAGGGCGCGGAGGCAGGCGTGGGCCGGGCCGGGCCGGGCGGTGGCGCGAAGGCAGCTATTGCAGTGCAGCGGGGCCCGGGGCCTGGGGCCCGGCCGGCGACTCAGGGCAGGCAGGCGGCAGGCAGCGGCGGCCAGGCCGTGGGCAGCAGGAAGACCCGTCTGAGGAGGGAAGCGCTCGTCCCCGCTCGTCGCTGGGCCCGACGCACTGGCTTCACCCGCGGGGTGCCCGAGAGGCTACTTCTTTTTGGGGAAGAAGCTGAATCTCTTCTCCTTGTCTTTCTTGCCGAGGCTGGCGTCGGGGCCGGTGATGGAGGGTAGGGGCAGGCTCTGTGCCTTGACACGGATGCTCTGGGACTCGTTGATGGCGGTGCTCACGCCCTGCAGCCAGGACAACATCTCCTCCTACAGGGCAGGAGGGTCAGGGCCCCGCAAAGGACGGGGTGCCTCTAGGACAACCCCTCCTGAGTGAGCCTTGAGGTTAAGTGGCATGCGTCC